CTTTACACACAGTTTAGTAGCAGACAGTATAGGAGATAAAAAGGTCTCAGGAGTGTTTCTCAGCGCCGCTCCTTGCTACAGTCAAAACATGTTCGAAAAAGAGAAGAACTAACAAGTACCATTCGTTGTTATTATTTAACACAAAAAAATAATAATTATATAGATATTAGTATTACACACAGAGCACTATTCACGTATAAGTACACTACAATGCCTATCTCCAAGGTTTGCCCAGACATAGGTACTAGACAATAACCTGTTAAAACATTTGTAAAGGAAAAGAAAATATACAGTAAAATAGTACCTTTCACTTAATAATAATTGTGACTACAACAATAGAGATTTATAGTTATTGATTTATTTCGAACACTGATCAGATCAATCTGTTTAAGGAAACGGAAGAAGTTTTATTATCGGAAATCCTTGTTGTCCGTACATATGTCTATTTCAAGATTTATAGACTGTCTTTAGGGTCGTTTTCCTTGAAACGTTTTAACAGGTATTGTAGCAGATATTGTTTTACGATAATTAGAATTGTAAATCGATTAATTCGGAAGTGTAATTATAATTTACTAGAAGTAGAGCTCCTTGTGAGAGAGTTCGTCCAGGAAAATACTGCCACCTTACTTTTTCTGCCGCCAAACGGCAATGTGAGCATTACTGCGTTCCCGTTCTAAAAAGTAAGGATAGTGACGAAATAACAAGCACATGGGACTTGTCAACTTATGTCTCAGGGTGACGGGCGCTGTGGCAGTGCCCCTCACATCTTTACGATTTGAAGCTCTAGGTGGCACTGCAACTGCTATGGGCATACGTGTCACTTAACACCAGGCACACGACTTGTTCGTCCCATCAGGGCGCGTTCCCACTATGTCGTCACGTTTTATTATCGTTGGACGACTGTCGTGTCTAGCCTGTTCCCTTAGCACGACTATCTGTCGTGGACGATTTTTTACGTTGAACGACTGTCGCCTGTCAGCCTCCTTGTCGTTTGCAGGACAAAACCGTTTGATGCACTGCAGTCGCTTGTATGTTCTTTTGGAAACCAGTAGTGTGTGTTCTCTCGAAATGGATGAAGACGAAATTTTAATAATGTATTACTTTTTAAAAATGCGAAAGAGGAAGCAAACAAAGAAAAGAAAATATAACGTGACGCATAAAATAAAACGTGACGACAGTAGGAGCTGCGACAGTCTGTCGCCACGTTTTTATCGTGACGTTTTTTTATCGTCTGACGACTGTCGTTCTAGCTGTTCCCACTGTGACGACAATTTGTCGTAGTAACGATAAAAAATTGTGAACAACAGTTAATCGTGTCGTGCTATATGTGAACAACTTCATTTAAATATACAAGCCACGACACTGTAAACTGCACGACAATCTGTCGTCACGACATAGTGGGAACGCGCCCTAATTTGGTAACAAAGAAAAAAACAGTAAATTTTAAAATAATATTTTAAAAACTGTGTTGTATGGTAGGTAATTCATTTCACAGAATGAAGAATGCAGTAATCCATGTACAACATAGTTTGAAGATGACATAGTTATAAAAGTAGGATAGAAAAAACTGAGACTGGTTCAGGTAGTTTGGGCGCATGGAACGTATTAATGAAAGTAGAGTGTCGAAAGAGATATATAGAACCAATTTGGAAGGCAACATTGGAGGAGGATGGTCCCGATGAACGCTTTCAGAAAAAATCTAGGATATTCTTAAACAGGCTGGAATTTGTAGTGAAGAGTCTTTTTATGACGAGAAAAGCACATAAGTTGACAAATGCCATGTGCCTGAAATATCACCAGCACCCTTACCCGTCAAAAAGCAGAACGCAGTAATATCACATTACTGCTTAGAGGCAGAAATAGGACAGGTGGCAGTACTTCTCTGTAGAAACTGATTCACAAAGAGCTCTACTGCTAATAAAATATAAGAATAAGAGAGAGGGCTTAGCCGAAATGATTGATGAATATAAGTGAAGCTTGGGAGGTTGGTCACGATTGTGCAAAGTGGTGAACAAAAATCTTTTCCTATCCCAATGAGAATCCAAAAGCGTAAGTATATGGTGTTCTATATTATTGTGAGCAACGGAATTACCTTACGAATGAGTAGTAGAATATAATCAATGTGACGATGTCTTTATCAAGATATATTACGAAATGATAAAATTTTATCATGTTGTATTTATGTATAAATTGTTATGAAATTGGATTTAATTCAGTATAAGTTCCTATTTTACTTTCTTTTATCTTGTAACAATTGTCAAGGCTTATAGTCTGTTACAGCTAAATGGTAGTAGCTGTTTTAGCTACTCTTAGCAGCTACCAATAATATTTCATTACTTTGCCTAAGCTGAGTCTCAATGATGTCAAAATAACGAAATAATGAGTTGGTAAAAATTTTGTGAGGTATTTGCCACAAGACAACTTAAAAAAAATAACTTTTTTCTTTTAAATTTATATTGTCTATGGTCATTATAAAAACAATATTTTAGCGTGCGTTTTAAAAATAGGTTGGATGGTGGTAATTTTTTTTGCATTTATGAAAAATTAGTCAGAACTGGTGACTCTCAAAGGTGTCGGTATTTCATCATGCAAATTGTAAATCACGCACACCTTTACCAAGCCGTCAAATGTCGTTACCAAATCTTATCCATAGTATTGGCCCATATAGACTCTTCAGATTTTCACTTGATTCGGTTTTTAGAAAATTCTTTGAATAGACACGACTTTGATAACGAAGAGACCATCAAACGACCTTAGAGCTGTATTTTGTAAGTATGGACTAGAATTTCTTTTAAAGGGTGTAGTGTATAGAGAATAAAGGTAAGCTGCGGTCCGCTCACTCCCGCCATTACGACTCTAGATATCGGGTGAACGGACGATCACACAGATGATTTAACTTCCTGATTAGCAAAATAGTTACTTTTATTACAATTGTTACAAAACTTTTATTCTACATACTCTGCCGTAATGAAGTAATTGCAACGTTATACATTAAAAATTGTTGTAATAAATATATTTTTGATCATCAAAACCAGGGTTCCGTGATCATTATCATTGATAAAATTATCATGATAAATATACCTTGATAATTGACATGATATTAAAAAAACATTAGTGTTTGCATCAGAAACGTATCCAAATGTTTCAAATGTCAATCTCAGAAATAAAGTCACAAACCAAAGCGTTTTCCCGAAAGATTTTCTTCGTGTATATTTAGTTATCTTACTATTTGTCATTTTTAGTCAAAAATGAAAGAGACAAAAATTTAAATCAGCATAAATAATTATCAGATAAATATGACATAATTATCAAATAAAATAAATATCTTGATAATTTTGAATCTTGACCAAAACTACTAGGTAATCAAAAATACTCGTATTTTAATTAAGTCTTACTTAACGCTGTCACTGTTGTTAGGTGTATTTTCCCTTCTTTTTTAACACAGAAAACAAAAGCAAAACTTTTCTTATAGAGTTTGTTAGAGGTGACGATGAGGTCGAAGATGGAGCATGCACACCTAAATAAAGCCTATTCACTCTCGCCTCAAAAAGGCCGAAGTTATACTGTTCAAGGAACAAGTCTGCAGACAGGGAGTTCTGTAAGTAGCCGTTTGAAATATTGAATAAGGTGGAAGCAAAAAGCTTCGTGCGAATCCTTGAAATACTTTGATCAATGGTTATGTAGTCACGTTTAGCTTAACACTTTGAACCATAGATCATTTTTATCATAAATACAATAACGTTTCACGGTATAAAGGCGTTAAAAACCAAAAACAAACATCTGAAAAAAGCACAACTTCTTTTTTTAAATTTCGTAAGGTCTGCTGGTTTGATCCGTAGCTCAGTTGTGGAAGCGTCAGGTATGGTATGCTGAAGGCGCTGTTTCGTATTCAGCCTCATCCAATCACCCTTCATGTTTGATCTTTGTAATCTAAAGCTTCATGCGCATCACGCGTCTTTTCATTTGGTCAAGTATTGCTTATTTGGCAGTAATTGTTTCGGACGGATGTCGGACGGAGATCGAGAGTAGCCCCCAGACCCATTACTTGAAAATATAGTCGGTACATTGGGTTTTACCATAGATATAGAAAAAATCCTATATCTATGGGTTTTACACTTTCTATTTGGGACTGTTATTATATTAAGCTGAATAAAGGTCATTTTAAATCTATGTGAAAGCGTGCTGTCGACTAATTAAGCACAATATCTTTTCATATGTCCCGAGAACACGTAGAATAAACATTTTTATTGGTGCTTTGAAGTACTTATTGTGTTAATAGAGAAAGCAGAAAGTTAACACTCCTTTGACTTCACTCGGTCACACATCACGTGAGAAACGACATTCAACACTATAGTAAATTTTTAAAGCAAAACACATACCTATTACACCTGCTTAAATGAATTTTTCAGTCAAGTAAGTGCAAGCATTCACCCAAATTAATGAAGTTTTTTAAGAGAATAAAATTTATAAAAGATAGAAAACAAAAAAGGAAAGTATATTCCGTACTTCAGAGACTTTTTGTAATTTCATAATCTCTATCAATAAGTGGCCACTCAGATCTCTTATTTCATCTGTTTTAAACTAGTAATCTATAATTTTATAAAATGCATAGGTATACATTGATTCTCATCACACGTATTTATAAATTATTCATTAACAATTATTATGATTTATTCAATGTTATTTACATATAATGGTTAGTAAGATAATAAGGCAGGTCAAACTTATTCAGCTATGTATTTTACTAGAGTATATATATTAGGGAATTATTAAATTTAGTTGGCATGTTACTAAGTACTATTTATCGATGATATTATAACCTTTAAAATACATTAATAATAGAGCGAAAAAAAGCAAATTCGTGGCAGATACTTGAATGATAAAAGATATTATCGTTTCGCATGCGCTCTTCAATGAACCGAAATTAGCACACCCAACAAACCAACTCCCAGTCAGTTTGGTTGGTTAGTTAGTTTCGGCAGAGCTCGCGAGCGCTGAGGACGTGTTAGCCCTCCATTTTACAATCTGAAACACGACAACAATTCTCGATATAAATGTGCATTTAGAAAACTTTGAAGAAATTCATAAAACAAAATGTGCAGGTTACAGTGCCTCCTTGCCTTAATACTTCTAACAATCACTACAGTTAGTTCATGGGGTAAGTAACACATACTTTTTATAGAAAATCAGCTGATGTATGACATTTTAGCACGTGGGTATTTTTCTGTTGTTATATAAGAGGTTAATTAGACGGAAAGGTTATTGAAGGGTAGCTAGTGGACAGTTTAGGATTTTTGGGGTATATATTTTATATAACACGTGAGGAGTAGACGTCAATAAGGCGGCAATTTGTTTGCCGCCACGACACCATTGCTAGGGATCTCGGAGTCACGTAGGCCAGCGCGGTAACCCGACCGAGTTAAGATTACGTTACCGGGCAATGCTTTGTATGAAATTACGCACCTTTTGCTATTGGTCACATACGAATAGCTGAAATGTGAAAAACCGACCGCGGCATTTTACAGGTTATTATGGCGCCTTTATTTCGGCGTTTACCGAGATATTTTTCAATTTATCATTATCAGTACTATGCGTTAATACTCGCGTTGCCGACAAAAAATTCGTACTTGTAGTATATAATAAGTAAGTAATTATTTACACGCTTGAATAAAAATTTCTAAAGCTACACGTCGTCGTTGCTTCATTGACATTGTACAATAGTTAACAAGGTCTAAATTTTATTAATACTTAGATAAAAAAACTTTTAATTATTTAATATTTGTTTATTATTGGTTTGTAATCTGAGATTAAATAGTAAATTTTTTACATTTGTCTGTAGTGTTCCACTGTCACTGCAATAACCTCCTCTATTTATTCCTACTATTTATGATATTTTATGCTCGTTGTTTACTCAGTAACACAATACCATGTCACGTAATGTTGATACTATGCAATTTTTTAGCAGCAGTAGAGATGTGAAAGAGTTCGTCCAGAGACATACTGCCACCTTACCTATATCTGCGCCACTTACTCATAACATAAAAAACGGTTTTGACTCAACAGAGAATTTTCAGATTTTTATTATTATTATTATTATTACACTGTTAACTAAGTGGTCCATTTTGAAGGTAAAATGCTTCTTGTGCTTATCAATGAATCACTCTAATCAAGCGAAATAACTCACTTTGCCATGATGGGAATATTAAATAATTATTTCCAAAATGTAATTTACTATGATTAAGTAATATTGAACAATGACATAATGATGAAATAATGTTTATTTAATTTGATTATATAATTCATTAGAGTCACCCATATTAGTCACAGGTGCCTTCTAGGGGAGGTTTTACACTATAGGTTCCCAAACTTTCTAGTCCTATTTTTGCTACTTTAAGGTTTGGCACTGAACTGTGTGCTTTCACGCCAGTGAGACATACTGTCGGGTCCATAACCCTGTAAATTTACCTTTTTGATATTAGAAAACATAAATCTTCAGTCAGATAATTAAGTACCTCTCAATTTTTCATTCTTTTTTTTCAAGTCAAAATCGAACATTTCTGATAACTAATAAATATTTTGTTGAATCTAGAGTGGCTTTGTGACTTGAAGTAAATGAATTTGCTCTTGGATTAAATATTTCTGTCTTATAACTAAAATACACTTTTGAGACGTTTTTTTACTGTTATCAAGTAATTATTCTCTAGAGTAATTATTCTATAGGGAGAGGATAGTTTTGTTGGATTTAATAAATTTGTCTTCGTAAAAAGAATTTTGTCTTTTTCTAAGTAATCTGTTTTTGCCGTGTACGTACTTGAACACAGGTATTTGTACGTACTAGAACACAAAATGAAGATACCACAAAAACGAGCACTGTTTTTTTTAGGCAATTTGGGAGGCAGTTCATATTAACTAGTTGATAAATTTAATCTCCAGTTAAGACTTACCAGAAAGCTTTAAAACTTGACATTAAGATTAAGATCGGTGGGTCACCTGAATGAAAACGTTTGAGTATTTAAGACATGTAGAATACAAAGTTTGAATTTAATTTTTAATATTAGCAGTCAGTAGCCAAGCTATTAAAATTCGAATTTCAAAATTCATCTGTTGTATTTATTTTTATTAGTATTATGTTGATCAAATTACAGGCAATGGGACTTGTCGCTTGCACCTCAGATCTTTGCGATATTGATAAAATAGGTCTTGATATTTATAAAATTAATTGAAACAGCAAAGTGCTACGGCTATACAGTTATATTATATTACGTCTCAAGAGTCACAAACCTAATAATTTTGCCCAAAAATTTTTCTTCGTGTTTATTTAGTTTTCTCATTATTTGTCATTTTTAGTTAAAAATTAAAGAGACAAAATTATGAATCAGCATGATTAGTTATGGGATAAATGTATAACGGGTAATTATCATAAATATCTTGATAAAGTACTGAACTTTGCAAGGAGATCCCTATTGTATTATCAATTCATTACACTCAAGGATCTTATCACATTACATTTTTTTCGAGCAAAATAACTGGCATTACAAAAACATATATATGTAGGCCAAAGGCAAAAATTATAACACCGCAGCTTAAGAAACAATAAAAAAAGTGGTCAATGCTATTAAGCGGTAAAGCCGAAATAATGTAAGGACATTCGTTTAACAAAAATAACACTGGCCATTTATTATTTTTTATTAATATATAATACTTTTTTTTATAATAATTAAGTGACGGGACGAACAAATCATGCGCCTGGTGGTAAGCAACACGCCTGTCCATAATCGCAATACCACTCAGAGTTGTAAATCGCAAATATCTGAGAGACACTGCCACTGCGCTCGACACCCTGAGACATAAGTTGACAAGTTCCATGTGCCTGTAATTTCACCAGCACCCTTGCCCTTCAAAACCGGAACACTGTAATAATTACAATAACTTCTCTATTACCGCTTGGCTGCAGAAATAAATACTTCCCTGGACGAACTCTTTCACGAGTAGCTCCACTGCTACTAGTCTACACTAACGTCTTATAAATTAATACAAAAAACTTAATTTAAAAACTTGCTTTTTGTATAATCATTGTTGTTTTTGCTTTGGATCGTTTCACACAGAGCAGAACAATTTAATTAGACAATTCCCACTACCATCATTATTATCAAAATCGACCTTATTATTATTGTATGTAAGTAAACCATGAGTATGTACATTTAATTAATAGTTTGATATATGACGATTAGCTTAATATTAAGTAATATGAATCATTTACGGACAAGCGATTTAAGGTATCGGATTAGGTAAAAAGTTTCTGCGGCATCAAAGTTTAATTGAAAAACATGAAAAAAAAAATCAAATTTTAGGGTCGTATTCTAGAACTCTACTCAATGTTCAATTCAGGATTTGAGCAGACTTGAGTATGATTTCAAGCACTGGAAATACGACCCTAATGGCAAGTACTTGATTATGATTTTCAGTGCTCACTGCAATACTCAAGTCCTCACTTGAGTATTGAGTAGAGTTCTGGAATACGACCCTTAATCAATTATGTTTTTATCATGTTGATCTAGAATCTTTTTTCATTTTTGGGTAAATTTTAGGATTCCCCTTTCATGAAAATTCTTGTATATACTTGTAGGTTATAATCCTGAATGTCGTTTGATGAATAACTGAAATTGTTATCAAAGTGTCGATTCAAAGAATTTTGTACATGTCGAAACAACTGAAAATCTGAAGGGGCTTTGTTGGGCGAATATAGTGGATTTGGTAACACATCCTAATCTAGCTGTAATACTTTTTAATGGCTTCGCAATTGTCTGGTTTGGCGTTATCATGATGAAATAAGACACCCTTACGATTCAAAAGTTTGGGTTAAAACTATATAGTTCATGAAAGATAATTCTTAAAACAAAATTATTAAAACGCGTGCTAAAATATTATTTTTAAAATGACCATAGACAATATTTTGAACTAAAATTTTGCTCGTGGCAAAAACCGCACGGCCTTTTGACCAACACATTAGTAAGTCCATCCAATTGTTACGAAGAGTTGAATCATTCAAATAATAGTCATTTTCATTTCCTTTTTACAAAAATTTTTTTACACATATTTAAGAATGGTTTACATTGTGGGTTTATCTTTTGCATACCATGGTAAGATATTGCAGTGTTTGATAGGGGTACTACCTATTATATATGGGATAAAAATAAGAGGTGAATTGTGTAAGTAAATGCAACGCAAAATTGGTTTCAGCGAGTTGATAACTTACTTGTGATGTACGGGGCATGTCAAGGGCCCGAAAAGTTGGTTTGTTTAAAAAAATAAATATATTTTTATAGGTACACGTTTTAGAGCCGAAAAGTAGTATATTTTTTGGCGAGGGACTAAAACGAACCTAAATATGTATGTATACCCGAGGTGGTTAGAAACCCGAGCTTTAGCGAGGGTGTCTATTACTCCGAGGGTCGGTATTGGATTTTACTCCTGAGGTGAAAACTTTACTTTTCACTTCGATTGCGAGAAAAAAATAAGTCAATTAAGCATGAAAAACGATCACGTCGCTTAAATGGTCCATACACGAACGCACTACAGCGGGAAACTAATATGGTGCACAGTCTATGCGGAAAAGGCGCAGAACTAAAACCGGACGTAGTCTTTTTGGTACAAACTGGAGCAAGTATTGGCTGTTTGAATTTGTCTAGCTCACTCGAAGTAAATAAAAAAACTGCATACTTTTTCATCCCTAGGATTAAAAAGATCGATAAAGATCGGTATTAAATGATGCACTTTACGCCCGGTGGCGTAAAGTGCATCATTTAATACCGTACCTACCGTACCGATTGCGTACCTACGCAAGGCTATAATGACGTACTTTTAGAGCATGAGAAGTGAAAAATATCATTTTTTAAATGATAATCTACGTATTTTGGTGTTTTAAGATAGATAATTATGTACAAATCATTTTCAACATGTTTTATTTGATATTTCATAACCGCTTTGGTAATTAACAGGTAAAAATTTAAATAAATATGTTGTAATCAGTTCTTCCTTTCCTCATAAAACGCATGGAATGTTAGCTTGTTTGCGGTGAAATAAAAAATATAGCAAGCATTTAATAAATTGTGAATACCTTAAAAAACGTGTACGAGTCAGTGTGTAGGTACGGGCGGT